TGCCCGGGGACGGACGCTCCCCCAAAACCGTGGTACGTACGGCGCGGCTGCAGCCGCAAGAGCAACGCGGCAACCTCAGCGCAGGAGCCCGAGCTGATGGCCGCTCTGCGCGACCATGTGGTGCCCGGAAACAGAACTCATCGTATCATGCTTTCCCTCCACCTCGGGAATCTCTGAAGCCAGGTTCTACCACTCCTCGTTTGTTTTAACGGAAACGATTACTTTTTTAAAAAAAAATATCTTTGTGATATAAAAGCGTGAGACTCACCAGCTTTAGAAATTGAGAGTTTTAGGCGTTATTAACAAATGCTACCCTGTACTCTGAAACTTAGCACTGGTCTCACTTTCAGCACTTTCTTAGCGCTTACTGAAGAGTAAGTTCTCAATAAACAGGTCATTATAATAATATTATATAATAAACTCTATGACAAACGTAATAGAAATCTGAACCACGTCATTTTCCTCACCACTCTAGGTTGAATTCAAAGCCTTCAACTTAATAACTTTTCCCTCTTTGAATTTTAGATTCAAAGAGCAAAATCAGAACAACTCAGAAAAAACATAAGTTCCATTTTATAAGCGAAGGTAAAATGAGCCTTATTCTACTCTTAGACACTGCTTGGCTTCACAAAACTAGAACAGTTAATTTTCCTTTCTGCAGCTGGTTCAAAATCCGGGCCCCTTTTTGTGAAGGGAGCCTCGCATTATCTTGCTTTTTGGTAAAATAAGCTTAAAATTGTACCAGTTTTGCTGAGTTTGCTCAAAGAACAATTTTTAGAAGTTACGATTCAGCTAATCAAAGCCCATTTTCTCCTGAACGTTTAGAGGTACTTTTCTTCTCTTGAGGCCTTCTCCTTGCCAAATTCGAGTCTAACCGTTTAGTGTTTGCTTAGCTCCAAGAAAGTCACAGAAATATTTTTTAATAACAGACATTTGAATTACTACATTGTTATCATTCTCAAATACAGCACAAACAGTTTTGCTTAAATAGAAAACTCATCTCAGGTAAAATTTAGATACAGAGAGAAATCACAGCTGGAAAATGAAAGTTTCTAAGAATTTGGGAAAACCTGAAAACAATGGGTACAGTGAAAATGCACATGCACCTCGGATTCCAGCAACTGTACAAATTCTGTATATTTTCCCT